ACCCAGGCTGGAGTGCAATGGTGCGATATTGGCTCACCGCAACCTCCACCTCCTGGGTTCAAACAATTCTCCTGCCTCAGCCACCCGAGTAGCTGGGATTACAGGCATGCACCACCATACCCAGATAATTTTGTATTTTTAGTAGAGATTGGTTTCACCATGTTGGTCAGACTGGTCTCAAATTCCTGACCTCAGGTGATCCACCCACCTTGACCTCCCAAAGTGCTGGGATTACAGGTGTGAGCCACTGCACAGGTCTGGGACTGATTGTTATTTCTGCCTGGGTCCCTGAATGAAGAGAACATAGAATAAAGAATGGATAGTGCCACAAAATGACCCACAAAAGTCACATAACATGAGTGAGAAATTACCCCTTATTGTTGTAAGCTGCAGAGATTTTTGAAGGTAGATGTGTTCAGGTAGCTTTGCTTCACTAATGTATTATAAAACATGCATCATTTCCAGGAGGGCACTTTAAGAGCAAGTGCATGATTCATGCTACCATGCAGTTACTATGGCCTAACTCAGCAAAAGATGAGTAATGCAAATAGGTGATCTATAATGAGAAAAGGTTCAGCGCACCAGGAGTACATAATAATTCTAAATTGTATCCATATAAAAATATAGCTTCAGGCCAGGTGCAGTGGCTCACGCCTGTAAAACCAGCACTTTGGCAGGCCAAGGAGTGTGGGTTACATAAGGTCAGGAGTTCAAGACCAGCCTGCCAACATGGCAAAACTCCATCTCTACTAAAATTACAAAAATTAGCCAGGCGTGGTGGCAGGCACCTGTAATCCCAGCTACTTGGGAGGCTGAAGCAGGAGAATCACTTGAACCTGGGAGGTGGAGGTTGCAGTGAGCTGAGATCACGCCATTGCCCTTCAGCCTGGGCAACAAGAATGAAACTCCATCTCAAATATATATATATATATATATAGCTTCAAACTACTGTATAAATATTGATAGAACTATAAGAAGAAATAGACAAATGCACTCTCATGTGGAGATTGTGCAACTCGTTAGTTGCTATGGTTTCAGTGTATGTGTCCACCAATATTTGCATGTTGAAACCTAATCCCCAGGGTGATAATATTAGAAGGTGGGGCACTTGGGAAGGTGATTAGTCATGAGGGACCCACCCTCATGAATGGGATTAATGACCTTATAAAATAAGTGCATGGGAGCTGTTTACCCTGTTTTGCCCCTTCTGCCCCTTCCATCCCTCCCACCATGTGAGAACACCAGTGTTCCTCTCCTCTGGAGGACTCAGCTTTAAGGGTGCCATCTTGGAAGTAGAGGCTGGGCCCTCACCAGACACAAAACATGCTAGCGCCTTGATCAGTAATTTGCTCATAGTTATGGACCTTTCAGCTTCCATAACTGTGAGCAAATAAATGGATGCTGTTTATAAATTACCCAGTCTCAGGTATTTTGTTACAGCGGCACAGACAGACTAAGAGAGGATATAGGTAGAACTCTGCACAGAAGAATTGGATAATGTACATCATTTTATTATATGACATGTTTAGAACAGTTTTTAAATTGTTTGCTAGACTATAAAGCAAACCTTAAAAAATGTCAAAAAAATAAAATCATCTAGATTCTGTATCTTACCTCAATGGAATTAAGTAAGGAATTGACAAAATGATACAGTCAAAATATTCTCTATTTGGACATTAACAACACACATGAAAATAAATAACAGGTGGCTGGGCGCGGTGGCTCACACCTGTAACCCCAGCACTTTGTGGGGCAGAGGTGGGTAGATCACGAGGTTGGAAGTTTGAGACTAGCCTGGCCAACATGGCCAAACCCTGTCTCTACTAAAAATACGAAAATTAGCTGGGTATGGTAGTGAGCACCTGTAATCTCAGCTACTCAGGAGGCTGAGGCAGGAAAATTTCTTGAACCCGGGAGGCGGAGGCTGCAGTGAGCCAAGGTCACATCACAGCACTCCAGCCTGGGCGACACAGCAAGACTCTGTCTCAGGGTGGGGGTTGTGGGCGGGGGGGGGGCACGGGTGGAAAGAAAAGAAGTAACAGGTTAAAAAAAGAGATCATAATGAAAACTTTAAAATATTTATAATTGAATGATTATAAAAATACTACCTTCCAAATCTATGTTGTCAGCAAAAAAAGTTTAAGAGGGAAATTTATATCCAACAATTCTTATAAAAAAGAAAGGTCTAAGTTAATTAGTTAATCACTTAAAAGGTTAGAAAAATGAAAGCAAACTCAAGGAAAGTGAAAGGAAAGACACAGGAAAGGAAAGGTAAGTTTGTATATTAATTAGAAAACAGAGATACAATAAGGAAGATCAAAAAAGCCCAAAGTTAGGTTTTTGAATTGACTAATAAAACTGACAGATCTCAGGTAAGATTGATAAGATATATATATAACATAGAGAGAGATTTACAGAGATGTCTTTGAGATATATATATCATACATAAAAGAGAGTATCTCTCAAAGATATCTCTGTAAATCCCTCTCTATATATGATCTATCTAGAGAAGAGAGAATAAACAAATCTATTTAAACCACTGTTTGAGGGATTATCTCTTGTTTGTAGCCAGATATACTTCCAAATGATAAACCAATCAGTTTGAGAGCAGACTGCAGAGGCAAGAGGCGAGTGCAGAGTTAGCTATTGTTAAAAAATAACTGCAAACTTGGTAGATTAAAGCAATAATAATGTATTCTACCTCTGCTTTGAACTGCATCTTTGGCGGAGCTTGGCTTTTCTCTCTGCAGGTTGGGAGTCAAGTCTGCTTCACATGTATTAATTTAGGCAGGTCCAGGCTAAAGGGACAGCAGCTACCCAGGAAAAGCTCATCCCATGACGATGTCAGGGGGCTAAAGAGAAAGCCCTACCATGCAAGCATATTTTAAACCTTTGTGGATATCCTATTTGCTAATATACTATTGGCCAATGCAAGTCACATGACAGCCCAAAGTCAAGGGCAGGAAGTGCACTTCACTTTTAGAGGGAGAAACTACAAAGTCATATGACAACGGGCATGTACACAGGGAGGGGTGAAGGATTAGGAACAAGAAACCAATTGACCAAAGTCTGCCATCTTACCCACAATTGTTCAAATTTCTCCCGCATGCAAAGCACATTCATTTCAATCCCAAGACCTTCTGAAATCTTATCCAGACTTAAAATCCTCATGAGGATCCAAGTTCAGAGTCTTGTGATCTATATCAGATCTAGATGTGGCTTCTCTGGGTTCTAAAACATCTATGAACTAGAAAGACAAGTTGTCTGGCTTCTCACCCTCACACCCGACACACAGCGATAGTATAGGAATAAGATAACGGCAATGAACACTCTCATTTGAACATAGTTAAGAAAGGGAGGCTCATAGCCGTCAGTCACTGGTCAATAGCAATTCCAAAATCCCAGGGGACAAACATTGCCGGGTCTCACTAGGCTGTGATTAAGGCTCTTGATTTCTCCTTGAGAGTAGCTCCTCAGTCAGTTCTGCACAGCTCTTGGTTCTGCCCTCTTGGAAATCCTTCCTTTCACCACAACTCCCTTGCTTAATTCTGAAGCATGTCTCGAAGATAGCGTTGAAAAGCATGTACTTTTTTGTGGCTGATGAGCTTTCTCAGGTAGCTACATTCCCATGGAAAGTTGGGGATATCTCTACCTCTTTCCATCCAGACTGGTGGCACTTTTGCCAGTACACAGCTCTCAAAGATATGGTAGATTTTTTATATATTTGATTCCAGTCAACTTCATATGACACAGTTACACTTATAATTTTTCTCAACATGTGCCTCTTTCTATAGACTCAATGTACTTACTGGCACTTTAGGGGAATTAAAATTTTGAGGGAACATATCCTTAGTACCTCTTAATCTTTCTAGAAGCCCTTTTGTCAGCTGAAAGGATCCATGCCCTTGATTTGATTCTTGTCCCCAGATTGTATTTTGATTTAAGAATCTTTTGCTGTCTGGAGAGATTGGACATTAGAAACCTTTATTTTTCCAACCTAGCAAAAATTTGTCTAACACAAAAAAGTCCTCTATCTATCTATCTATATCTATCTATCTATCTATCTATCTATCTATCTATCTATCTATCTATCTATCTATTTTTTTGAGACAGAGCCTCTCTGTCACCCAGGCTGGAGTGCAATGGCATGATTTTGGCTCACTGCAACCTCCATCACCTGGGTTCAAGCAATTCTCTTGCCTCAGCCTCCTGAGTAGCTGAAATTACAGGCATGTATCACTATGCCTAACTAATTTTTGTATTTTTAGTACAGGCAGGGTTTCACCATGTTGGCCAGGCTGGTCACGAACTCCTGACCTCAGGTGATCCACCCTCCTCGGCCTCCCAAAGTGTTGGGATTACAGGCCTGAGCCACTGTGCCCAGCCAAGAAAAAATCCTATTTTGACATTTTGCCTCTAAATGTCTTCTAAAACTTCATTAAATACATTTTCTCCTTCAAGTTTTCATACACAGGAGTTTTACTAAATGTTTCCCACTACTTAACGTAGGCTGCCTTTTCCTGTTTCCTGTGAGTTTTCTCACCACTTTCCAGCCCCCTGTAAATATTTCCTTGTTGCTTATTGCCTGGTCTCAAACCCAGTGCCTCATATTTAAGGTTTTTGCTCAATTGCTGCATCCGCCTGCTGTTATTACAATACAATCCACTTCAAAGCTCAGTGGCTTCCAACAGTAATTATTTATTCTCATTCATGTGTCTGCAGATCAGCTAAGGGCTGGCTGGTCTGAGCTGGGCTCAACTGGGCAGCTCTGCTTCAGCCTGTGGGGACAGCTGGACACCCCAGGAGTTGTGGGGAGCTACTGGAAGACACACCTTTTGTTGGATGGTGTGGGAGGATGTGCGGTCAGGAACTACTGTAGCTTTTTTTTTTCTATAAGGGGAGAACCTGGAGTTGCAGGAGCCTGTTGGTGGGGCTGGAAATGAAAAG